CCTCACATGAATACCATCTATTAGCTGAATCTCATTAGATTGCAAATGACAGCATGCTCTTGGATAGCAGTTTTGATCGTTTAAAAACATAAGATGACCCTTTAATCACAAACATCAGTCTGCACCAAATATTCCATTCAAACAGACTTTATGGCCATGTTATAGTAATTAAGTTAGTGTTCAATAATAAGAATTTATTATACATATCACATTTTGGATCACCTACGAATAATTTTTTATTTTTTATTTTTTTTAGCAGATTCTAATGTAGATTCTGTCTTTAATACAGGTAGATACATGTATACAGAAATCTAAAGGCATCATGATGATAATTTCTCAAGTGCTCCCAATCTGTTGTAAATTACTACGGAAGGTAAGCATGTCATTTCATTAATAATCAATATTCAACTAAGTTCTACATTAAACCCATAGAGATGTCATGGTTTATTGTTTTAATTTCTTTAGTTAAGTTGTGTGTTGAGTTCTAAAAAACAAACCATGTATATGCCTACTGATTGTATGGAATTAATTCTCTTGAATTTATAATTATGCCTATTTTATGGTGATTTTTATTTTTTTTCTATTTCATAGTTAACCTTGTTAACATTTTGTGCGTATATATACACACATATAAACACCTAGGGGGCATCAAGATGTGCATGATTCTATGCCAGGTTATGCTAATTGTGAAACTGGTAATGTATTTTTAAAGAAAAGCATTAAGCTTTGGGTCTGTTATAAAAAACAAAATATGCTTTAAAGGAAAGGATTGTAAGGAACATATAACATTTCTCTCATACTACCAGAATACTATTCATCAATATTCAAATGAGCTCATTTTACATTTATTTTACAGTGCAACGCAGGCAACAGTTGTTATCGCAGTCCACAGACATGGAGGGAAAACCGGATACAAAATGTCACCAGTGAAGACAGTCTAGATGGAAAAACCGTGGAAGCCTTTGGAGTAAAATCCTTGGAGCATCATGTAGCTAATCTGACATTTTTAGAAAGCAAGTAGATTTAACCCTTAGAGAGCAATACATTGCTTACACCCTTCTGGCACTCCATGGGTTAAAAGACCACCTAGATGCAAGCGAAAGGTTTCAGCCATGATGGAGAAAGCCACACTTTTCAACTCAAACTTACTTGGTACCATTGTACTTGATATACATTTATGTAAGTCAGGTTTAAACTGTTGGTCTTTTTAAAACGTGAATGTTTTCATTGTTCCACTTCATGGTCATTTGGCCATTTTACTGGTCAAATCAGACTTGCTCCGTTGTGAATGTCTTAATTGAAACCTATATCCCAAAGATGCTGCTATGGTTTGTATACTTGTAATATGCAGAAACCATACAAACTATGGTATCCATTTGCTGTGTTCAAAACTGCTGTCAACATTGTCATCCGTGCTGAGTTTTGCTTTATTAAGTGTAATGTATCTGTTTACCTGTATCAGGGTACTCTATGGTGGGTTGAAGCACTGATCAGCTAGTATAAAGTCCTTGTTCACAAAAAACAGCACACTTTATTCACAACTTGCACCTCTGCCACTTTTTTTGATCTGGAACGAAAGTGTTTTGTGTTAAATCTGCTGCTGGAACTTTAAATTTATTGGAGACGACTTTCTCAGAGAGAACTATTTTCAAATTTAGTTTGATTACAGAGAAAAAGGATCACTGTGACTTAAGGTTGGTCATTATTTTTATTTTTATTGAAACCTTAGCTGCTGTGTATGCTGGCCGCATGGAAAGCATGTAGAGTCCCTCAGTTTTATTATGCTGTCAAACCTGTAGATTCACTAATTTCACTATTATTTTACTCTTCCTCATAGAGTTTTAGATGCATGTAAACAGTGAAACCTCCCCATCCTCCCCCTCCTCCCCCCCACACACACACTCAAACGGTATCTTCGGAATGTATACCATATTTAAGTTCATGGAAATTTAGGTTGTTTTATTTTTTTTTTACATTAACATTTACAATGTAAGATTCTATTTTTAAAATAAAAATTTAATGAATCTTGATGGTATTCTAATTGTTGGGTTTTTTTTGAGTATGTTTACATTTTTGTTACGGATTTAAATGATATGAAGTAACAAAAAAAATAAATAGAGTGATATGTTCCATAATTCAGGCAGCTGAGATGCAGAAACAGCTTTGTGCATTATTATCGAGCAGGGCCCTCAACCCCCTCTGTTCCTGTACGTCAGTGGTCTGATCTCAATTATGTGTCTGTTAGTCCACCCATTGTACAGCGCTACGGAATTTGTTGGCGCTATATAAAAAATAAAATAATAAAAAATAATAAGGAGAAATAAATATATAAAGGTGTGCTGTGCCTTAAAGACAACATTCTCTGTGAACTATGTATAGTAAAGTACAATAAAAAAATATAAAGTGCATCAACTTTCAAAAGGTGCAGAAACAGTACAGTACAACAAACATTTTTGCACTAAAGTTTTTTTTTGCATTTTTTGAAGGTTAAAGGTTGTTGTATGTTATGGATATCTTGCACTCCAGCTGAGTATATCCGTGCAGCGTCTCCCGAAATCCAAGTAGATATGAAGGTGTTGTGGAATATAGCTCCCAATCCCCCAAACATGAGCCAAGACTTCATGAAGGGGTAAAACTATCTGGTTTATTGATGGCCACAGCTCGGCCTTTTATGCAGGTCCTCCAGCAAGGGTTACTGACCAATCATTTTATAGTAAAATATAGCACACTCCCACCAGTGGCGTACATACCAGGGTCGCAGCTGCGACCGGGCCCAGCCCACCAGGGGGCCCGGCCGCCCCTGCGACCCGGTATGTACGCCCAGGGCCAGCCTCTTCCCCTGGGGGGGCCCAGGAGCCGACCACCCCAGGGCCCCCCGAGGCTGGCCCTGCTGACCCCAGCTGGCGGGTGGCCGGTCGGGCAGGTGGGCGCGCGAGGGCTCCCTCGCACACGGCACTGATACCGGAGCCGGAAGACGACGTCATCTTCCGGCGCCGGCATCCCTACGCGGCGCGCAAGGGAGCTGAAGAGGGAGCACTGAGTGCTCCCTCGCGCGCCCACCTGCCCGACCGGCCACCCGCCAGCTGGGGTCAGCAGCACCCCTGGACACCAGGGGAAAAAAAAATTTGAAAAAAAAAAAAATGTGTGTTAGTGTATGTGTGTGTGTTAGAGTGTGTGTGTGTTAGTGTGTGTTAGTGTATGTGTGTGTTAGAGTGTTAGTGCGTATGTTAGTGTGTCAGTGTTTGTGTTAGTGCGTGTGTTAGTGTGTGTGTCAGTGAATGTGTCTGTTATTGGGTGTGTGTCTGCTAGTGAGTGTGTTACTGTGTGTGTCTGTTACTGAGTGTGTTTGATGTCTGTTAGTGAGTGTGTGTTTGTCAGTGAAAGTGTATGTATGTCTGTCGCTGAGTGTGTCTCTGTCAGTAAATGTGTGTCTGTTAGCTAGTGTGTATGTGTCTGTTCGTGAGAGTGTGTGTCTTCAGCATTTACCTTTCTCCAGCGTCGGACTCCCCAGTGTCTGCCACTTAGCTCCGAAATGCACATGCGCGGCAAGAGGCGCGCGCGCATTTAAACCGCCCATAGGAAAGCATTACTCAATGCTTTCCTATGGACGTTCAGTGTCTTCTCACTGTGATTTTCACAGTGAGAATCGCGGAAGCTCCTCTAGCAGCTGTCAATGAGACAGCCACCAGAGGCTGGATTAATCCTCAGTGAAACATAGCCGTTTCTCTGAAACGGCTATGTTTTCAGCTGCAGGGTTAAAACTAGAGGGACCTGGCACCCAGACCACTTCATTGAGCTGATGTGATCTGGGTGTCTGTAGTGGTCCTTTAAGTGTGTGTGCATACCGCGGTCGCGGGGTCGTAGCCCTGCAACCCCTGCGACCAGGTGCCCGCCACCATGTGTTGCGACCCCGACCCGCGCTGAGTAAGCGCGCGGGGGGGGGGCCCACGGATCAATTTTTGCACCGGGGCCCCATGGGTCATGTGTACGCCACTGACTCCCACATGAACAGTGAAATCCCTCCTCTCTATCCTGGAGATAATAGAGTTAAGTGGCCTGAGCAAACTTAATTATCTCCAGGTAGAGAAAATATTTCTACTTTACAAAAGTAACAAAAATACAAAATATATAACTTTGCTTTTCCCGATCAGAACCCCATCATTCGACATATCCCTAGATAGCTTGGGTCTGAGCGCTCAATATAGCCGAACAGTGCTCAGATCCCATGAACACAGTCAAATCGCCATGGAGCTAAAGATTCTGCTCACTGACTGTTCGCTTGAAATATGTCCGACATTAGCTTCATGGATTGAGCTATCTGGGGTTGGTCTCCTTCGTGGGTTAAATGTACCGAACGGTATGGCGTTCGTGTAAATAGAAACGAATGCAGTGGAAGTTAGATAGTCCCAGCGGTGTTCGTGTGAAATTGTGGCCGAAAATAGTTCCACGCGGTCAACGACCAATCACCGCTGGGCGTTCATCAATTTAAAATGGCCGTCGCCACGTGTTCGTTCAAATGAACGGCAACCACCCAGCCGTTCGACAAATAACTGTGGTTAACCGCATCTTCTGGGTGATTAATGAGTTGCACACTCCCAGCGGGTGGTCTGGCTGTTCGGTAGTTTGTTCGTTTTTTTAGGAAAGAACGAAATAGAGCTAACTACACGAACAGCAGACGAAATACAATAGGCAGGGCACTCATAAAACAGGGTTTTTTTCACAATGTACTTTATAATTTATTTTTTTGTCAATCTGTTTTTGTTTTTATAGATCAATATTGGTAATGAACATAAAGTTAACATACTTATACATACATACATACATTGACCATATTGAGAATTAAGACTAGATAATATGCAAAGAACATAAAATTCCAAGCATCAATAATTTGTCCAGGAAAGATCTACAGAGGTATGTGCAGCCTGTGTGGTATTATGAACCTTAATGTGCTGATATGCTACAATAAGAAGGCAACAGGTACAAGATCTTAAAAAAAATAAAAATAAAATTAGAAGCAGGCTGTATGCTTGTAGTACCCGTAACCAAGGGGACAGGAAAGAGTGGAACTAGACACCGACTATAAAGAGCTTAACCCTTATATGAGTATCGGAGGATAGAAATCTAGGTCCTACAATATCTCTTAGGAGGCAACATTGTGAGAGAAAAAAAATTGTTAATAAAAATGATAATAGCATAAGCATAATTTGCTAAACAAATCAAAGAAACCAAATTGCAGGTTTCAATTTATGGCAAATCCAGTCCAGTTTGCAAAATAGTTTAACTGGAAGCATAGCTATCTTTGAAATTTTGACCTTAAATTTTAAATTTACATTGGATTCTTGACAATTTTCACTTAAGGAAATAACCCTGATAGCAAGCTGGTTTGAGCAAAGTTACCTCACTACCTCCTATTCCTGTAAGTGAGAATTGTAAGTTCAACTTATTTATATGCTTTTTGCCCAAAATTGGTGCATATGTATAAATAATTTTATTGTACACACTGGGCAAGACTCTGCATATTATTCTATGAACTTTTTATTTTTATTTATTTTACTTTTTTAGGGCCAAGAAAAAGAACCTGTGCATGTTTGGGTAATGTAAGGATGCAGCCTTTAATGATTTTTAGTGCATGCTGCATCTGAGCAGGTGGGTAATCAAAATGAGTCATTGATTAAGTGACCTGTGATAATGCGGGGACATTATTCCACATGACAGATGGTAAATACTGGAGTAGATGCAATCATTGTTGGCAATGACTATTCGTGTGTATTCTGTCAATTGTTAAACTCCAGATACGAAAGTTAGAGTATAAGGCACACAGTCATGTACCAGATCAATTTTCTCTATGCATGATATTGGAGATGCACGTTTGTGGGGGGTCAAATGGTATAATTTTACTTACACTACTTTAAAATCTTTTATTTAATCCAGTTCCTTGAAAGCTTAGTTAACGAACATATATTTTATGACCTTGGCATGTATTGGCAGTATTTGTACTGCAAGTACTATTTCTACTTAAAGGGACATGCAGAACTAGCATGGTTTTATGATTACTGTAGCTACAGTTCCCTACTGCTGGTGGTTAAACGTGTGTGGAATGGCTCCATATACTAATTTTACCATATTATGGCAGGTATCACTTGAACATTTCTCTGAACCAAACTGTGTGCAGAAATCGGCTGAGCCAGAGTCACGTCAGTCCTCATTGTCAATAGACATAAGTTGGATATACACTATATGTACAAAAGTATTGGGACACACCTCTTCATTATTGAATTCAGGTGTTTCAATCAGACCCATTGCCACAGGTGTATAAAATCAAGCACCTAGCCATGCAGTCTGCAATTGTGAAAAAAATGGATCATTATGAAGAGCTCACTGAATTCAAGCGTGGTACTGTGATAGAAGACCATCTTTGCAATAAGTAAGTTTATGAAACAAGAATCCCTGCTAGATATTCCATGGTCAACTGTAAGTGGTATTATTGAAAGTGGAAGAGTTTAGAAATAGCAAAAACTCAGTCACAAAGCATAAGACAATGGCCAAGCCACAGAGTGCTGATGCGCATAGTGTGTAAGTTGCCAGTGCTCTGCTGATTCCAAACTCTCACTTTCATCAATATCAGCACAAAAACTGTGCAGCGGGAGATTCATGGAATGGGCTTCCATGGCCAAGCAGCTGCATGCAAGCCTTCCATCACCAAGTACAATACCAACTGTCCAGTCAAGTGGTGTAAAGGACACCACCATTGGACTCTGGAGCAGTGGAAACGTGTTCTGTAGAGTGACAAATTACTTTTCTCTAGCAGTCTGATGGGCGAGTCTGTGTTTGGCTGATGCCAGGAGAACGTTGCCCTACTGCATTGTTCTTACTGTAACTGGACAATGAGTAATGGTATGGAGCTGTTTTTCAGGGGATGGGCTATGCACCTTACGTCCAGTGAAGGGAAGTCTTAATGCTTCAGAATACCAATACATTTTGGACCATGCCATTCTTCCAACATTGTGGGAACAATTTGGAGAAGGCCCTTTTCTATTCCAGCAGGATTGTGCACCAGTGCTCAAAGCAAGGTCCATAAAGACTTGGTTGGATGTGTTTTGTGTGAAAGAAAACTAGTCCACCCAGAGCCATGACCTCAAACAAACTAAACACATTTGGGATGAACTGGAACGGAGATTGCAAGCCAGGCCCTCTTGTCCAAAATCAATGCCTGACCTCACAAATGCTCTACTGGATAAATGGGCAAAAAGTCCCCACAGAAACACTCCAAAATCTTATGGAAAGCCCTCACAGAAGAGTGGAACCTATAATAGCTGCAAAGGGAGGATCAACTACATATTAATGTATATGTATTTATAATGCAATATCATAAAAGTCCCTGTTGGTGTAAATGTCAGGTGTCCCTATAGTGTATCTACTCATTTATAAACCAGCCTTGACAGGATGACCATTCAGAATTCATGTGGTGACAAACTTGTCTGTCTATGACTTATACATTGCTTTTTGAATAGATTAAACATATTTGTAAAATTACTTTTTACTATTTAAAGGTATTTTATCCCCTTCCGACCTCTGACGTACCAGGTACGCCCGACCAAAAAACTGTTAACGACCACGGACGTACCTGGACTTACCTGATCGCTGGTGATCCCCCGCCGACGATCACGATGCGGGGACTTGCCTGGCATCCCAGGTAGTCCCCCTGCGGCTGATTTGTCCCCCCAGGGCCATGTGATTGCGGGATCCTTGTGATCACATGGCCAGAATAGCCGGCTTGTGCAGTGTCTCTCAGGCTGTCCCCCTCATATATATATATGATCCAAGTACTTTTATTGAATGACGTATATGTATATATATATATATATATATATATATATATATCTCTACTCCAAAGAAATAAATTGAAAAACAGAACAAATTTAAAACGGTATATAATAATTTGTAAAAAAAAATTATTTGAACTGTATTATGATATTAATATACATAGATATTTAAATCAAAATACATTAAGAATGACGTTATAAATACATCTCTCTCTCTCTCTCTCTCTCTCTCTATATATATATATATATATATATATATATACACACACACACACTACAAAACCTGTACATGGGAGGGTACTGTTTACTCTGGAGACTGCTGGACACAAATATTAGTGTTTCAAAACAGTAAAACCTATCACAACGATGATATTGTCGGTGAAGGTGCAGTTTTTTTAATTTTTCACACACAATCGGCACTTTGACTTACGATATAATTGTTGTAATACATTTTACTGTTTTGAAACACTAATATTTATGTTCAGCAGAGTCTCGCAAGTAAAACTGAACCCCCCATGTACAGGTTTATGGTATTTTCAAAAGTTACAGAGTCAAATCTAAGTGTTGCATTTCCTTTTTTTACATTGAAATTTGCCAGATTGGTTAAGTTGCCTTTGAGACCACAGGGTAGCCCAGGAATGAGAATTACCCCCATGATGGCATACCATTTCAAAAGTAGACAACCCAAGGTATTGCAAATGGGGTATGTCCAGTCTTTTTTAGTAGCTACTTAGTCACAAACACTGGCCAAAATTATCGTTCAAATTTTTTTTGCATTTTTCACACACAAACAAATATGAACGCTAACTTTGTCCAGTGTTTGTGGCTAAGTGGCTACTAAAAAAGACTGGACATCTCATATTTAATATCCTGGGTTGTCTACTTTAAAAAACATAGGTACATGTAAGGTGTGATTCAGAATTTGACAGATAAGTGTTACAATGTCACTATTGATATATTTTGAAACTGCGAAGTCCTACTTGAACTTATAGCCCTATAACTTGCAAAAAAATAAAGAACATGTTAACATTGGGTATTTCTAAATTCAGGGCAAAATGTAAAAACTATTTATCACAGGTTGGAGAGATAAAGTAAACAGAGTGCAGGTCAGGAGTCCGGATACAAGTCAAGGTCTCATGAGCTGCACCACTGTAACCACCTAATAGGGAGCTCCAATGAGGGGGTAACCCTCCAAAATATGTAGGAAATGGGAGTAGGTTATGTATAGAGTCCCACAAGGGGAAACTAACATCGGGAGAGCTCCACTGTATAAGAAATGAGGAAGGGGGGCCCTTCCTTTAATCAATCTAAGAATAAAAAGGGATATGCAAACAAAAAGTATAACTTGGAGAAAAAAAAGGGAGATCTACTAAGCGGTGCCCAAGGGATCAATTGTCTGGAGTACTAACTAGCATCTAAGTTCCTGTTCCCCTAGTGTCTGACTGATGGGAAGGTAGTGTAAACGAGGTTAGGGAGAGAGAAAAGGCACAGGGTCCCCAGAGAACAAGGGACCACGTAATCTGGTCTAAATGCAGATGAAAAGCCTCACATAAAAAATAAATAAATCTCTAATTCACCCTAAGAGTTACCTAGACACTGTGGTCTGACCACTAGTGTCTACCTGAACCAACTCTTCCTACTAAAGTTATAAATAAATAAACACCTAAAACTCAATAACCATAGTGGTAACAAAAATAGAAAAGTGCTACCAAGTGCAGGGATTATACTTTTTGTTTGCATATCCCCTTTTATCCTTAGATTGATTAAAGGTAGGGGCTCCCCTTCCTCTTTTCATATACAGTGGAGCTCCTGATGTTAGTTTCCCCTTGTGGGACTCTATACATCACCTACTCTATTTCTTTATTCTGGTGAGTCAAGTACATTAACAAATCATGTAAGCATAAAGTCTTGTACCATCATGAAAATGGAACATAAATGTATAAATAGATGTATGGACAAGGCAGGTGCTCAACATGAATGTGCAGCTTGTACCGTAGGCTTAGGCCGGATAAACCCTGTAACATACGCCCTGTCGTGTTAAGTGTTAGCATCGCACAAAGGTTAAAACACAGCATGGTTCTGTATTAGTTTCCTGTGATGACACCAGTTCCCTCAGTACCAATGTCTGGTGTCTACTCATCACCGTACTTCTAGGTGCGGCTAGGGGTTATTCCTGGACCATCACTGGGTTGTGGACTCGTCGGGTACTGCCCTATCTGTGAGGTCACCGGGTTTTGCAATAACACCCAGCACTTAGCTGGGGTAGAGGGTAGCAGACAGATATGAGGAGAAACAGGAGGTATAGAGAAAGTAAAGAAAAGTGAAGAATAGATGCATTCCAAATAATGTGTATATCCCCATGGGGTGCGTAGGTTGAGTGAGTGGGTGGGAGGGGGCCATAGTGTGTGGTACTGCTGATACTGCTCTTGGAAGTTCATTGTGAGTTCGTACTGGTAACAACTGACTAATGTCCTGGGCCCTTTGGTCGCGGGACTGCGACTAATATCCGTGGCCCTGTGGATACGGGACTGCAAAACCTCTGGCACTTAGTGTTGTAGGCTAGTGTAGTGTTCTAATCATGTCTCCCATGCGGCCCAAACTTTTAGCCACTTGTTGGATCTATCTGAGCTGATGTGGGCCATTTTTTCATATTGCCCATTTGTGGTTACCTGTTGAATCACTTCATCTATTGTGGCAGTGTTTGTGGATTTCCACTTTCTAGACAGAAGTAAGTTAGCAGCGATCAATATGTGAAATGCTATAGCCCTTTGGCTTTTGTTCATGTGTGCTGGGGACATAAACAGTAGAAAGAACTCTACGGATGCTCGTAGCGGCATTACTAAAACCTCTGAAATTAGTTGGGCGATCATATCCCAGAAAGGCCTAATGTTTGTGCACTTCCACAAGATGTGTAACATTGTCCCCCTTTCGGCTGCGCCCCTCCAGCATTTGTTTGAAGTATTGGGGAACATATGCGCCAGTCTAGCTGGTGTGAGGTACCATCTGTTAGCTATTTTCCTAACCAATTCCACATGAGAGATGCATTTTGTGAAGGATTTGTGTATCGTAAAAGCCCTGGTCCAGGGGGTGTCAGGAATTTCCTGGCCCAGGTCCTTCCCCCACTCTTTAGTATGTTTGGGTAACAGGGGTTTCGTGTTCCATAGTAGTGAATCATAGCAGACAGAGATAACCTTTTTGTGCGGCATGAGACCCATGCACATCTTCTCTATTATGGAAATGTGTTGCACTTTGGGCAGTTCAGGTGATCTAGTTTGTTGGACGTGTCGTAGTAAGGATTGCAGTTGCAGATATTGTAGGTATGTTGTCTGAGGTAAATTATAAGTGGTTCTAAGTTGGGAATATGCGGTCAAGTCCTCTACATCCAGACCTGGTGTAGAAACTGTGCAGACCCTTGTCTTTCCATCCCTTGCTATCAAACATAGGGATGAAGTGTTTAAAACATCTGAGTGGTGTGGCTAGGGATATACAGAGACCAGGAGGAAAACTTGGCCATGTGGCCGTCCCATGTATTTAGCATCGTAGACGTGGTGGGTAGTGTGTCGCGCATCTTTGGACGAGATGCTTTAGGTATCCACACTAGATACTGAAGCCCCTCGGTCAAAGACCATTGGGACTCAATCTCCACTCATTGAGGTCTGGATTTAGAATAGTGTGCTACTATTGCATGATTGAGGAGTGTGGCTAGATAGTAGGTGGATTTGTCTGGTCTCCCCACTCCCCGGTCTCGCTGTTTCCAGGTGGCAGTGGTCTTGAGAATGCAAGCTTTATGTCGGCCTGTAATAAACCTGTCTATGTGTCTTTGCAGTTCAGTAAAGTAGGTGTTTAGGACCTCTGTAGAAAGAGAATGGAACAAAAATTATAGTTTGGGGAGTAACATCATTTTAAATGCTGCAATACGGCCCATCCATGACAGAAATTTGTCTTTCCATTTGTCCATGTTGGACTGGATGCCAGAGGCTACTTTGGCATAATTTGCTTTTACCATGTCGTCTAGGTTTTTGGTCAGTTTTACCCCCAAGTAGGTTATGTGGTCATCTCTCCAGTTGAAGTCATGGCAAGTTTAAGATGGTGTGTAGTGTCGAGGTTGATAGCCCTGTCATATGACTTCCTAGTATTGTCAGACAATGCTAGTTGTGAAACGAGTCTGCCATGCGTTAACAAATCTCCGAATCCAATGTCATGTCCTGCCATGACGGAGCCGGGGTAGCCACCATGGCTGCCGTTGGTAATGCATTGTTGAATTCCTGAAATTGAGAGCGAGATAAATGGTCAGCTGCTACGTTCTGAATGCCAGGAATATGCACACATACCAGGAAGAAATTATAGTTGCCTGCCAGCCAAGTCAATTTCCTCAGAAAGCTCATGATGGTCAGAGATTTAGAACGACCTGTGTTGATTATTTGGCAGGTTGCTAAATTATCCGAACAACATCTCACCGCTTGACCTGACCAAGTTGTTCCCCAAGCTACTGCAGCAGCTATGATAGGGTAGAGCTCGAACAGGGCAGACATGGTGAAAAAACCTGGTACATTGTACACTTCCATAGGCCAAGCCCCCCGAAGTTATCACCGAAAATAGCTGCAAAGCCTGAGGAGGCTGCTGCGTCCGTGAAAATAGTGAGGGAGTCAGAAGTAAGTAAAGGGATAAACATTCTTTTCCCATTCCATCATCTGAGAAATTCCTGCCACATGCGTAAATCCGCTGTGGCAGGCCCATTTAGTGTAATGCGGGAAATATCTGACTGAAAGCGGGGAAACAGATTGAGCAGTTGAGGGAGCCTAATAGAGACTGTAGTTCTGTATGGTTACAGGATGTACAGGATGGTTACAGGATTCAGCAGAGAGATATAAGTTGATGTTGGATAGGATGCGCTCAATCTTATCTCTAGGCAAACTGCGAAGCATGTTGACCAAATCTAGTGTGATACCAAGAAAATTAATCAATGTGTTGGGTCCTTCTGTCTTTTTAGGGGAGACGAAGACCCCCAGGTATTGGAATAGCTGGATCATGGTTTTAAAGGCGACTAGGTGGGAATAAGTTTCTCTCAATAGTCAAGCAGAGCCGGATTGGCCCACCGGGATACCAGGAAATTTCCCGGTGGGCCGTGGCACCTGGGGGCTGCGCTGCCACATAGGTGGCACACTGAGAGGGGGCCGGCCACGTTCCAGACTGGAGCCGCCGGGCGGCAGCTTCGCCGGTCCGGCGGCACTCCAGTCACAGTTGTCACTGATGGCTGAAGGAGGAGGAGCCTGTCTACCATGCTCCCTCGCGGTTCCCACAATTCCCAGCACAGGAACCGCAAGGGAGCATGGTAGACAGGCTCCTCCTCCTTCAGCCATCAGTGACAACTGTGACTGGAGTGCCGCTGGACCGGCGAAGCTGCCACCTGGCCCGGCGGCTCTAAGGTAAATTGGGGGCAGGGGGAGAGATAGGGAAAGGGGGTAGGAGGGAGAGGGAGAGACACAGGAAAGGGGTAGGAGGAGAGGGGCATAATACAGGAAAGGGGGTAGGGAGGAGAGGGAGAGACACAGGAAAGGGGTAGGAGGAGAGGGAGAGGAGAGACACAGGAAAGGGATAGAGAGGGGAGAGGAGAGACACAGGGAAAAGGATAGGAGGAGAGGGAGAGAGACACAGGGAAAGGGATAGGAGGGGAGAGGGAGAGACACAGGAAAGGGATAGGAGGGGAGAGTGGAGACACAGGAAAGGGGTGGAGGGAGGGAGAGGGGAGACATGGAAAGGGGTGAGGGAGGGAGAGGGGAGAGATAGGGAAAGGGGGTAGGGAGGGAGAGACACAGGGAAAGCGGGTAGGGAGGGAGAGACACAGGGAAAGGGGGTAGGGAGGGAGAGACACAGGGAAAGGGGGTAGGGAGGGAGAGACACAGGGAATGGAGGGAGGGAGGGAGACACACAGGGAATGGAGGGAGGGAGGGAGAGAGGGGGAGACATCCGCTGTGGCAGGCCCATTTAGTGTAATGCGGGAAATATCTGACTGAAAGCGGGGAAACAGATTGAGCAGTTGAGGGAGCCTAATAGAGACTGTAGTTCTGTATGGTTACAGGATGTACAGGATGGTTACAGGATTCAGCAGAGAGATATAAGTTGATGTTGGATAGGATGCGCTCAATCTTATCTCTAGGCAAACTGCGAAGCATGTTGACCAAATCTAGTGTGATACCAAGAAAATTAATCAATGTGTTGGGTCCTTCTGTCTTTTTAGGGGAGACGAAGACCCCCAGGTATTGGAATAGCTGGATCATGGTTTTAAAGGCGACTAGGTGGGAATAAGTTTCTCTCAATAGTCAAGCAGAGCCGGATTGGCCCACCGGGATACCAGGAAATTTCCCGGTGGGCCGTGGCACCTGGGGGCTGCGCTGCCACATAGGTGGCACACTGAGAGGGGGCCGGCCACGTTCCAGACTGGAGCCGCCGGGCGGCAGCTTCGCCGGTCCGGCGGCACTCCAGTCACAGTTGTCACTGATGGCTGAAGGAGGAGGAGCCTGTCTACCATGCTCCCTCGCGGTTCCCACAATTCCCAGCACAGGAACCGCAAGGGAGCATGGTAGACAGGCTCCTCCTCCTTCAGCCATCAGTGACAACTGTGACTGGAGTGCCGCTGGACCGGCGAAGCTGCCACCTGGCCCGGCGGCTCTAAGGTAAATTGGGGGCAGGGGGAGAGATAGGGAAAGGGGGTAGGGAGGGAGAGGGGAGAGACACAGGGAAAGGGGGTAGGGAGGGA